GTGCCCCAACATAACCAGTAGACTGAACTTATTAGAACTAAAAAGTACCAGCTCCCATGGATTACCTCCTTCATTTTACATATTAGGGAGCTGAAACTCAGAGATATTTTGGAACTCCAGGGTTCCTGATGTCATATTTGGTGAATATATATACATTATCCTATCTAATAATAGACAAACATGGTAATTGACTGTATCTTCGCTACACTTCCCATTGGCTAATCAAGGCGATATGAAAATTAACTGCCAACAAAGATGGCGGTTAACCACCCCCCAGCCAGTGATTGGAGAAGCTGGGCGGGTCAGGGAAGAGCCAGCCGCAGGCAGCCGCCTCTTCCCTGACCTCCCCCCCCCCCCCCGCCCCAGCCGGTGTTCGGAAGAGTACCTGTTTTTTTTTTTCCAATAACCTGTTTTTTTAATAATTTCTTGACATGGTAAAAGAATTTTACATTACGATCCAAGGGTGGTGGGGTGAGGAGAAGGAGCATCCGAACAATCCAACAAAAGGGAAACAGAAATGCATGCATGGGGGAAGGGATTTGAAGGGGGGGTAGGGCATTGCCACACAAAAATGCAATTGGTTTGTTATTGAGTACTATTCATGGGAAGACAGCATCCTGACTCTTTCTCTATACAGCATATTGGGAGTAAAAATGATGCATCCAGGTGGAAATATGACTAGGGGTTGGAAGACAGACAGGGAAAGAAGAAGTCAGAAATAGACACTGAGAGAGTCACTGGCTGGCTGGCTGCAAATACTGACTTTCCAGTAGTGATAGAATAAAAAAGTGGGGGATATCTCTGGATGATTCAAGAGATAGGGGACAACTCTTCTATGGTTTTGACTTGCCCAGCAGATTTCCACATACACACGTGTACACGCCTATGTTTGCATGCACACACATATACACATAACTGACTGCTCTCCCTGGAAGCACAGAAGAAGAAGAAGCCACCAGAAGAAGAAACTGCCCACCTTTGGTCCAGGCGCCAGCACCTGTGGCTGACTGCAGCCCAGGAGACAGACAAGTCACCCGCCGAGGTCCCAGGCTGCAGCCACCCGGAGAAGCTGCCAGCCCTGTGATCCAGGGCACCAGCGCCTGTGGCCAGGGAAATAGGTTCCCTCTTCTCCTACTGCAGTCATTACTTCAATATTCCCCTTCTGAATGTCTCTCCTGTGCTGCAACCCAACTCCACTTTTCATTGGAAGGATATGGAACAGAGAGAGCAGTGTTAAAAGCTTACATTTTTAAGCCGGTAAGGTTGGTACTTAAACATATAAATGGAAAACTAGAGTCCTTAAGGTAACAAAGGCTACAAAGGACAGGCACACCACATGACCTATTATATCCAGCAATCCATATGGGGACTGAAAACTTTGCAATGATGACAATTAGTGAAGATATGAATCAACTGAAATAGTTGACAGGGACAATTCTTCCATCTTTGAAAATATCTACATCAAATCTGTTTAAATAGAGTTTCATCTGCATAATATAACACATTCTGACAAGACCACCACCACCACCAATGTGGTCAGTGTTGTGCCGATAAATGTTTAATAACTGAGGGACCCGCCCCACCGAGTGCACAAATTTTTGTGCACTGGGCTACTAATATATATATATTTGTCATCGTTGTTAATCCTTACTCAAGGATATTTTTCCATTTATTTTTAGAGAGAGTGGATGGGAGGAGGAGAGACAGAGAGATACACATCAATTTGTTGCCTCTTGCACACACCCCAACCCGGGCCTGGGATTGAGCCTGCAACCGAGGTACATGCCCTTGACTGGAATTGAAATCGGGATCCTTCAGTTCATGGGCCAATGCTTTATCCACTGAGCCAAACCAGCTAGGGCTAAGTGCTATATGTTTTTTAAAATCATTTATTTCATTAGACTAAAAGCCTAATGAGAGATCAAAATGAGGGCTGGTCATTATACTGCAGTATGACAATATTTATAAGTGAAACATTCTTCTCGGAGCACAGGAGAAGTGCAGCCCACGGCTGTTGGCGGCAAGTAAGGAAGAAAAGCTTCACTGAAGAGTGACCTTTCAGCTGAGACTTGGGAGAAATTACCGAGTAGCCAAGTGTAGGAACAGGGACCCAAAGAGAACACAGTATGTGTCCGCAGAGATGTGAGGGAATGCAGGTGTTTTCAGGAAAATGTAAGGATCACCAGTGCTATATAGATTAGGATTTGTTTGAATGATCTTTCTGTTAGTGGTGCAGAGGGTGGATCAGAGGGGAGTGAGACTAGAGGCAGGAAATCTGGAAAAGGTTATTGCAGTAAAATGGGGCTGAGACATGAGGGTCTAAATCAGGACAGCAGCTACAGAAATGGAGAGATAGGCACCAATACAAGAGAAATTGAAATGGCAAAGTTGATGGGTGGACTTGCGGGCTGAGACATGAGGGTCTAAATCAGGACAGCAGCTACAGAAATGGAGAGATAGGCACCAATACAAGAGAAATTGAAATGGCAAAGTTGATGGGTGGACTTGCTGATTAATTACATATGACACATGAAGGAAAAACAGAATGTAAAGCAAATGAGCTATTTTATTTTCATTTTTCTACTCCTTCCTATGAATTTAAAGGGTTATGATATTTATGAGTTTTAATGGGATTTATCAGAAGTAATTAAAATAGTTTTAAATATCACAATGCTTTTGGAGAAAAGGCTATTACATAATATTAAGTGTCTGATATTAAGTGATATTAAGTAAGATTTGTATTTTCTCATTCCTTAAACCCAGCCACAAGTATAAAGAAATGGAGTCATACTTTCGGTGTAGATTCTCATTACTGCTATTTATACCTTTTCAAAGTGCACATGGTTATTAGATGAGAAAGGGGATGAGATGTAGAAATGAAAAATATAGACATGAAAGCCTGATATCTGCCAGTTAAGCTGCCTCTTTTATTTTATAAAATCACTAGGCAAAGCAGTTCATCCCTCAGGGATGAAGGCATATGTCACACATACAAAACAGTTTGAGGTAAATATAATCAATACTTTTTGGGGATTCTGAGAAATTATAGTCACATGTGCCATTGATGGGAAACAAAATGCACAGTAAGAATTGTAAGTATTAAGTATTTATTATACCTCACACCTTTTTCACCCACTGACTGGCAAGAGTGTGTGGGACTGCTACCTTTATAGAATAATTTCCTTTGCCTTTCATTTTATATGTAAACTAAGGGCCCAGGGCACGAATTCGTGCACCTTGAAAGGAACTGTGGGCTGTGAGGCTGCTGTGGGCACAGGGGTGGTCTTGCCCCATCCTCCACACCCCTGCTCAGCCCCTCCCCCTGTGGCTCCCAGTTCCCTGTCTGCCAGCAGCCCCCACTACAACCACTGCCATTCCCACGCACTGACGGTACTGGCCCAGCTCACACTCATTGACTGTGTGGAGTGACTGGGGCTGGCGCCAGCAGGGGGTGCAAGCGGGGCCGGTGCTGTCAATGGGTGCAAGCAGAGGCTGCTGCCCCAATCACCCCTCATGAGCAGAGGGAGGTGGAAAAGCCCTCAGGGGCGATCGGGACCAGCACTGGGCACCAGCAGCGGGTGAGTGGCAGCTCTGGCACCAGCAGCAGGTGTGAGCAGGGCCGTTGCCGGCAGCAGTTGAGAGAGGTGGCTTCCAGCCCTGATCACCCCTCAGGAGCATGGGGAGGTGGAGAAGCTGACACCCACTATGTTCTGCATGCACCCCCTGGTAGTCAGCACATGTCATAGAGACCGGTTGTTTGGTTGTTCAACTGTTTGGTCTATTTGCATATTAGCCTTTTATTATGTAGGATAAAATAAATATTAAAAACAAACGAAAAGGAAAGATGTTCTATTTAACATTTTATATGTAAATAAAATAAATATTAAAAAAAACAAAGGGAAAGATGTTTCATTCAAAGGTTGGAAATGCTGGTTTAAACCATTACATGGGTCATTTATTGTAAGATTTAAAGGAGTTTTTACTACTTCAATGAGTTATGAATTGTCAAGAGAGAGATACAGGGCATTGTATTTTCAGTGGAGCACAGCTAAGCTATATCTAGTAAGCTTCATAAGACTGGGGCAAAACTATGAGAAGGTAAAGCAATAAGACAAAACATGAATGTTCATTTTATTCATTTGTTTTTCATGTTTGTGTGCGGGGTAGGATTGCCAGATGGAAAAGTACCCAAAAGAGAGTACTACTTAGAAGAAGTGTCTGAGGACAGCAAGACCCTGGGTCCTCTTGTCTCAGGCAAGTTGAAAGGCAGAGATAAGACATCAGCTCAAATAGAAATCTACAGTTGAAATTGGGGATTCACACCTTGCAGTGTCTTATGTAAAATACATCAATCCATTTGCCAAATGCATTCAGGCTTACCCCAGTTAGGATTTGCCATTGAAAATTAAAACATGAGTGGCAAGTTACAGGATTGTTGTTTTTTTCTCCTGCTTTATATTACTATATAATCTATCATTAAGCATTTCACAAGTCACATGACAACTCTCAAGTCATTTGCAATTTAATTGACCAGAAATAAGTATCCAGACCAATGAGAAAAAGGAAACTACTGCTGAAAAGCATTGGAGACCTGGCTGGCATGGCTCAGTCATTGAGGGTTAACCTGTGAACTAGGAGGTCACAGTTCCATTTTAGTGGGGCCATAGGCCCAGGTTATGGGCTCTATCCCCAGTGTGGGACATGCAGGAGGCAGCCAATCAATGATTCTTTCTCATCATTAATGTTTCTATCTCTCTCTCTCTCCCTCCCTCTCTGAAATCAACAAAAATATATTATTTTTTTAAAAAACATTGGAGACAAGAGACAGAGAAGCCTCAATAGAAATATCCACTTCATTACTTGTCTTCTAAACTGACATCCACTTTTGCTTAATGAAAATTTATGGTAACAAGAAATTGTATCACTTCTCACCTTCTGGGAGTTTCAGAGACAACTCTTACACACACACACACACACACACACACACACACACACTCGAGTTTCTCCCCAAAATAGCCACATTCTTTTATTTGGTGATTCAATACATTTTTAATTCAAATAGCCACCACATAACCTAGGCACAATATTAAGCATTTACAAGCCAAGTATTTTACTGATTTCCTTTTCAATTGCCAGAGAGTACAATATGTGAATTGGTTAAAGGATATACTTCTGTACATTAAAATATCCATGTATTTATACAAGCGTGTGGAACAGAGTTTCAAGAGAATAAAACCAGAACATCGCAATAAATAGGATGTGTTCCTACAGGACAGCAGAGCTTTTCAGGAAGCCGTTGAGTCTCTTTTTGCAAGGTGCTTTGTGTTCTTCTGAGCTAGGCTCGCGCTTCCCGCAATAAGGGTTTGGGGTTAGTAATGATGGATCCGATGTCTATTTCTCTATGTCCCTATGTCACTTTTTATTTGCATCTCCAATAACAGGAGCGGAGGATATGATAACTTACTTATTTTCAAAAGTGTTCACAATGTACCAAATTCTATTTATTTCCCATTTCAATATTTCAAAATGCAAATTAATCTAAGCTCTAGCACCGTCTAAGAGTGAAATACATGTATTTTTGTCAGAGCAACAATATTTCATATCATCTTTGTTCCTCTGGCTATAACAATTCTGTTTAGAAAAATTTACCAAGCTAAAAATAGTTGATCTAGGTTGTCATAAAAAAAGGAATATTAAATACCTTTGGTAAAAATAGATATATTTAACAAGATTAGAAAAGCAAACCGTTATAATGTCAAAAGGAGAATATAAAAATGTACACAATAAAACAAATAAACCAACTTATAGATAAAGTGAAGGTAAGGCCACTCTTCTTTTCAGGTTTGTCTCTTCCACACCATGAAATGTAGTTCGTGTCTTCTAAATGATAGAAATATTTTATAAGAAATATGGAAAATCCAGTCTTTCTTATCAACAGGACATTAAGTTTGATTTATAGCAACATAGTTCCTTTTTTCCCCAAAACCAAGTTTGTAGGCCATAGAACACTCTGGTTTATACATGTGACTATAAGGGAAAAATTCCAGATTTCTGGATTTTTAGGCCCAGAATATGGAGCTTGAGAGTTAATAAGCAAGGCAATAGAATCAGGTGCCCATCTGCACTCATTTCCTTCCTGTACTGACATTAACTAAGTCATATCAAGACAACTGAAATATAGAACACAGCCAGCTGAGTAAGTGCATGGTAACTCTGTAACTAGCTAGTGATCTACAACATTTAATATTTTTTCCACGCCCGGAGACCTTTTCCCTGTCATTGAGGCCTCCTCTCAAGAGAGCTGTGGCACAACTCCTAATTCCGGTTGGTGTCTCCTCTTTCAGAACACACTGTAAATCCTGAAGGCTGAAAGGTCCCTGAAGCAAACAACTGAGATTATGGATGGCGGTAACGCATCAGTTCTATAACAGAGCCAGCCGCTGCGCTGCACTGCCGGGCGAAGGCGGCACGTGGCGATGCGTTATCCTCCGGTGTTCCCTCTGCACACACAGTCACACTCCTCATGGTGCTCCAGGGCCACGTCAGTGAGAGATTTATGCAATCCCCTGACACCAATCTTTGGTCTCAACTGAAGGACCTGAAGGGAACAATGTAAACCACCGTTAAAATCAATCAATATCTATCACGTACGGGTTCACAGACAAGTAAAATTTCAGAAAAAAAAATGTGGGGCCCAACCAAGATCTATAGATTTTGTGTTTTTTCCTAGTAAAGGCATTACGAATATAACCCCCCACCCCTCAAAAAAATCATACACGATCAATTTTCATGAAAGCAAGGATATTTCAATACCAACAATTTGGAAGGATGCTGCTTCAGAATAAAGAACAGTCCTTAAATTGAAAGAGTCACTATGCACACTTTATTTTACTCATGTAACAATGCGGAGAAATTTCACCTTGGTGATGTATTTTGGAACCACTACGGCACGATTAATTTTTCTGTTTGTTAGTTTCTTTCGGTCATTCATTTGTTCGCCCATTTAACAAATATTTATGCTTGAAGCAATACACACAAGTACTGCGGTACTGTGAAAAGAAACATGATCACTCTGCAGCTGAGTTTGCTCAATTATGCCACTCATTAATTTTCTTGGCTACACCTCAAGTCCTCTATAAACTTGATGAGATGGATTAGATGCACTTCAGAGACATCAGCCTCCGTCACAGCTAACTTTCTGCAGCTGGGTCCTACTGTGCAGTATAGGGAGATTTGGCAATGACAGTAATGGCTCTATTTAATGCAGTTACTTAGTTACTTGTATATAGCAAAATAGACAATGATGCTAAACATAATTCTTTTCAACACAACAAAAGGACATAGCTTTCTATAATAATAAAAGCTTAGCTTTCTATCATAATAAAAGCTTAGTATGCTAATTAGACCAGACATCCTTCCAGATGAAGCTGGGGCTACGAGGGCCAAGCCCCTTGCATGAATTTCGTGCATCAGGCCTCTAGTGTATTTTATAAAAGATGACCTGATGTACTTGAAAAGAATGACCTATTTAATGTGCATTACATTTTATTTCTTATAATAGAAATGATACATTTTTTTAGAATTTATGTTTGAACTATAAACAAACCCTAGAGCACTTAATAACATGAAGTTGTCTAGTTTCTCTGCTCTCTGGGTACGACACAGATAACTTCATAGAGCAACTTCTAAAAGTTCCTGGACATTTTCATTAATCCAAAAAGGCACAAGTCAAGTCTTATGACTGTTCTTCTTGAAGATTAAAATAAGAAGGAAAAAAAAGAATGTATAACTCATTTGGAGAATGTGGTCATACCGAAGGTTAATTAGCTAACATTTTTTGAATGCTTATGAGTGCTAGCCACTATAATAAGGATTTTACAGACTTTAACTCACAAGAATTCTATGAAGTAATTTATAACTATTCCCCCTATTTTACACATGAGTGAACAGAAGCTTAGAGAGAATAAGTGGCATAGCCAGTATTTGTACTTTGGCCAAATATGAATTATTAGAGCAATAGATAATAATTTTATGAAGACTCAGAATATACCTAGTCATGCATTCTATTTATTTAGTAACTTTCTTTGCAGAAAGATAAACTGCAAGTCTTAAAATAACTATGGGAAATAGTCAACTTCTAAATTAGATTTTTATTACATTTCATAATGCTAGAATAAAAATGACTAAAAATGTACTATTTTAATGTGGTTAGGAAGACAGATAAATTGCAATATTGGCATAGCCAATGTCTTTAATTCCTATCTCCACGTGTATACATTTTCCCAGTTGGCAGGGGAAAAATTACTATGAAAGGGAAAGGTAAGGTAGGCTACCATATGCCATCCTAACAGGCAGTGATGCTAAGCTGTAACCTTACAACCCTTCCACCCCCTAGCAGTGCTTATGTCAAGATGCATTCACCAAACAAAAGCCCCTTCTCACACACAAACACACCCAGTCTTCATCCATGGATGTTTGTGGAGATCAGATAGAAGAATAATCTCTTTATGTCCTAGTGATGTTGAAGTCTTGGATAAGAAATTCTTACACAAGGTGGTGGGACCACACTTATTGTTTTCTTTCTCAGTTCTGTTTGAAAGTTCTAACTTGAGAAGAGAAAGTTAAACTTGGGCCATGACCAGCAGGTCCCAGATAATATGAAAGATGCTCATTGGATTTTCAGGACACAGTTTAGGACACCAGAAGAAAAAAACAGGCAGGAGAATATCTCACAAAATTTTGAGGGAGCAGTTCAAATTCTAAATGCAAGCACATGAAAAAATAATCCAGGGTAAAGCTAAAACCAGTGGAAAGGAAAAGATTAGGTACAGAGGGAACCATCAAGGAATAGAGGCACAGGTACCATTGCCCAAAGTATGCAAAGTGCCCTTACATTTTGGGGTGTCATAGAACCTTGGAGGATGGGACTCATTACTAGAATAAGTCAATTGAATGGTATATTTCCCTCCCAAATAAATAGATCTAAGCATAAAAAGACTATACTTTAAATTATGAAAAATGAAATTAGATATATGAAGATATAAACAAGGTAAACAAGATAATACTGGTACAGTAGAGTTGGTAAAGCTGGTATAGTAGAGATGAAGGAAAGAAAACTTAGAACTTTTAAGCTCTGTCTTTGCTTCTGCCTTCTCCATGAGGTGGAAAAATCTTCAAAGTGTAAATGAGAACAATGCTCATCAAAAAGAATGAAAGCCCAATATAAAATATTAATAATATTTTAAGTTATATATAAAAATAATTTCATTTATTCAGGAGTAGTATTAGACTCAGAACTTATTTCCAAAATATAAAACCAAGAAAAATTCAGGGCTCAGGAATGATGAATTACATCAAATGAACCCCCCACTTTTTTCATAGAGTAATTTGATCCTCTATAAAAAAGATGATCACAGAAAAATTAATGATAAAAAATTAAGACAAGGTTATTACTGGAGCTATTTATGAAAAATTTGAAGCAGGTGACAAGGCAATGATATTGCTGTACATACACACTTTAGGGATGTGTGAAACTTACACTCAATGGTCATGTAATTACCCAGTGGTTCTCAACCTTCTGGCCCTTTAAAAACAGTTCCTCATGTTGTGACCCAACCATAAAATTATTTTCGTTGCTACTTCATAACTGTAATGTTGCTACTGTTATGAATCGTAATGTAAATATCTGATATGCAGGATGGTCTTTAGCGACCCCTGTGAAAGGGTCGTTCGACCGCCAAAGGGGTCAGAACCCACAGGTTGAGAACCACTGAATTACACACATAAAGGTATATACGTGTGCCTATATATAATGCATATGTAACCAACCCCACCCAAAGACTAGTGCATAATGGATCATTGCCATTCTGGAAGGCCAGTGATGCTATAAGCAGTGTCCACAGCCTTTCCCCACACAAATTTTACCTGAGACTTTAAAACATATTACAAACTCTTTGGCAACTTCCTGCATAACCCTACAACTAATATTATTTGAAAATAAATTTAAAAGTATAGCATGGAAGAGGATATGCTTCAAGGAGGACTGATTTATCTGACCAAAAGCATTGCATGGAACCAGCATCTGAGAGGCTGGTTTAAGGTTAATATAGCTGGTCTGGATTTTATAGCTCTTAGAATAGTGTCATATACCCAAGATTTGTTGGCTAAATCAGGTCCCCAAATGCACTTTGTTTAGTAAAAACTTGCTTTAGATAGTTCAAAATCGATGACTTTAGGTGGGAAAAGATCACTCAAGTTTAATTCCTATTCTCATTACATCCTTTTATGTTAGGCCATTCAACTCTAGTATCAGCCTGGCCTGTAAGGTATTTTAAGTATAATCTGTTTAAGAACGACTATATTGAGGGTTTCTTCTTGACTAGATACCCCAGTTCATGGAGCAGAAATCAGGCTGGCCTCTGGGCATAACCTGGCTGGAGTTTCTTGAGCCACCATGCTCATAACTGTCTACTTCCTGTGACTGGAGTGGAGACTGTTCCCAGCACAAGGCGCATTAGAAGAACGCAGTGTAGAAATGAAAGTAGGACATGAGTAATGGCAGTAAATTGTCCTATTTTTAATCACAGGCTTCTAGTTTGGGATGTTTCCTTTTAAAAATTGCAATCTAGTAATTGCCTTGGAATAACATAGCTAGGAAAAAACAGATAATTCTCACATCTTACACTATTTCATTGAGGCTCAGTACCCCGCTGATGGTTACAAGTTAAAGATAGATCTAGGATGGAAACAGGGTCCATTGTCTTCTGGAATCCAGTGCTTCCTCCCCCCTCACTTTCCCAGCTGCCAACACAATGTTGTTGAAGGGTAGGACAACCATGTCATATGTAGTATAGCTATGACACTGTCCATGTGTAGATTACCTAACAGATAAGGGTTTCATTGATATCTTTATGCAAGTCAAAAAAGTCATTTTACTTATTAAGCAGATATTTACTTTTGAAGATTCTTTTATTTAGTAGAAAAAATAAAAAACTACTGAAATGAAGCTATATTGAAATTAAGTCAAAAAGACCGATTTTGGCTTGGTGTAATGTAAAGGTTTTGTAAGAATCAAAGTTGTCTCATCAAGAAGGAATTGCTTCCTAATGTATGAATGCTACACGAGGCTCTTGGAGAGAGAGAGTGGGATAGAATTTGGGATATTCTAGCATCATGGAGAATTTGGAGTGTATCAGTTCTAAGGTTCCCAAGGCTCTGAAAAACAACAATTGCTAAGTTTTAATATTGGAGTTTTCTTGATTCTGTAAAAAGATAAAAGGGGGAAGCATCCATAACATGCTCTTTGGGGCAATTTGAATAATAGGAAGATGGATATAATTATGAATGTGTCTTCTTGGGATATAGGTGCCTACACTGCCTCAAATGAAAAAATAAATATCAAAGATCGTCTCTCTCCAAATTAGACAATGACTCATCTCCAAGTTTCTCTTTAAAATATTTCCCTTCAGCTTTTGAAAAGTTGAAAAGTTTCACCCATATTTTACCATATAAAAGAACACATTTTGTTTTTTGTATGAGAGAGGAAAACTTCACTGACCACCTATGGTGTACCTATGGTGTACTATCAGAGGATAAGCTTTCAAAATATTTAATGTCTGGTTATTTGAGTTAAAGGTCCTATTTTTAAAAATGAGAACATAAAGTGTATTTGTGGGTGTGTTTTTTTTAATGAATGCTACATCCTTCCAAACAAAAATTCATTTCAGATACACTGTTTTGCTATTTTTAAAGCAACAAAATACCCAAAGGAGCCCGAAAATAAAATGATATACGTACCTCATGGTATTTTTTAGTCACTTTGCTTGGGACACATTGACACTCATTGCAATTGTGGAGACAACAGGCGCAGTTTCCACCACAGCGCTTAACCAGGAGACAACCTGGCCAGAAAATAGTATCGGTTCTCTTTAGTTCTTCCCTTATGGACACTGAGAAGTTACGAGGTGTGCAGCTGTACAACCTTACCTCCTCTTTTAGAAGGTTCAGATCCACCACTGCATGGCATAAAAGAAAGAAAAAAAATAGATGTTCATGCTCTGGACTTGAATATATTCCATTAAACTCTTTTCATAAAGAAATCAAACTATGTCATGAACAATAATCCTGACAATACCCCTCCTTATTGTAGCTATGTTTGGGAGCTGTGCAGCTTGCAAGTCGGACTTTCTATTTTATAGTAAACAAAGCTTCATTCTGATTTAGTGTCCAATAAAGAGATGCCATTGTGCAATGTTAAGAACAGAGCCAACAAAACAGTTGAGAGCTATAAATAGGAACTACAGAGGAAAAAGAGGGCTACACCTTTTAACCTTAGGAAAAAAGTAAACAAGGAGACTATTGGAAGGAAGAATAGACTGCCAAATAATGAATACTTTGATTAAAAAATAAATGCAAGTTTTAAAAAGATTACAAGCTCATGCCATTAATGAAGAACAACATACAGAAACTTGTCGACAAAACTTCCTTATAATCTTTCTGGCAATAAGAATCATAAAGCGTAAAAAGGAAATGAAGAAAATGAAATTTTGAAGACGGCTGAGTGGAGCGTGAAGTAGAAAAAAGAAAGATACATTTTAAAAGAGCAGAGGTGGTTGGAAAGCATTGCTTCTGGTACATTGAGAATTTTTGGCCTTTGAAATTTAATTTAACTCAGATTTCTATTCTTCTCAAGGATGGAAGAAATGTCTAATGTATAGCCATTGTCTCTATTCTTTTAACAAGTTGGTTAGCTATGCTGTGCTTTATTCTTTAAAACAGTATCTATTTGTCAAGACCAAACAAAATATCCTTTGATCAATAGTAAATTCTCAAAGAACCATTGTTTTTAACCACAAAATTATACTGCCTTAGTGAAATTATATCAAAATAAGATGTAATGTTTAATATGAATTTATATCTAAGATATAAATAATAGTCAATTTTGATAAGCATCTGTAATATAATTTTAATTTCTGCTTTATAACTTTGACTTTTTTCCCTTTAAAGATATTCAAATAAAAAAATTCCAATAAAATTGAAGAGTTTTGGATAACATATAATTGATTGGAGCTTTTTTCCATCAATAAAATTAATGGTTTATTAAACTTTAGGAAAATTATCTAAAATGTAATAAATCTAGTTAAATACCTTTTGCTAATATTGGAAACATTATAAACAAGAATTGAGGGAAAAGAAAAAATATTCTCTGGTTAAAGATTGCTTCAAATAATAATCATGAGTATGTAATCCCATTTTAAAAATTAAGTCCCATATTTTAAAATAATTTTAAAATAACAAGGTAACCATGAATCAAATGCTTATTTTCTTGGCTATGTTATATTGTATATGTGATCAAATTTTTCTAAAATGTCAAGGGAGTTCATGTGTTTTCCAGAGATGTTTTATAAGTTATGCATATGCAATCATAAATGTAAACATATATAAACTATTTGGTTGACTAAAATCTTAGTCACAGTTAGGAGAACACCAAGAAATGCTAATTCAATAGGTTAATTTCAACATCTTATTCAGTTAAAAATTATCTTTTCCATCTCAATAGAAAAATCACAGTTTTATTTGAGCATTTAAAGATTTCCTTTTCATCTGAAAAATGATCCTATGAAAATAAAGCTTTTGAATATTTAAGGGGAAATGAGTTCATTCTTTTGAGTGCTATAAAAGACCAATTTATCTCTAATAAAATTAATGAGATAACCAGGTTAAGTGATGTCACCTGATTTTACCTGATTTCATTTTGATGCAATAATAGCACATGCACATACTGCTCTTTATTGTTAAAGCTACATATGAGCTTATTTGAATATTTTCTCTAGACGTTACTAACTGATTAAGAAAGGGAGAAAACCTAAAACATGCACGCACATACAGAAGCCAGTTGCCAACATTTGTGACGCTTATTTAAGATTTATGCTTCTTTAGGATGTGAATGAAGCTCTTAGCTTTGAAAGGATATTCATCTACCTCAAATACTTTTAAACACACTATTTCATGAAACTAGAAAATGAGACTGTATATGTTCACTTTAAAATGTTTACTTAACCACAATAAAAGGTTAGATAGATTTCCCAAGTGAACTAAGTTATGATACCTGCTACAATGTGAAAATTTAAACACACTTTCAACTTAGCTTCCACTCATTTATCATGTTTGACACAAAAGTCAAAAGCCCTTTTTAAGTACTAGTTAAGCCTGACTTAGAAAATATGCTTTTTTTTGCTTTTTTCTGTAGTAGCATGGTATGAATGAGAACCCTGAACCAGAAGAAGAAAGGGAAAATAATGAAAGAGAAAAACATTAGTGCTGTCCACGCTGGGCTAAAAATACAATAAGGATTTTAAATTTGGTCATCATATCTGAAAATTATGCTTGCTATTTCTAAGGCTTCAAACCCACCTAAGCTTCATTAAAGTAAGTCCTGTGATTATAACTTGGGATCACAAATTCTTTAAACATTGTGCAGTAATCATCATCATCATCATCATCATCATCATAATAATAATAAAAGGAAAAAGAAATAGGGAGAGAAAAATCAAGCCCCAATACATACCTAAAAAAACACACACACAAAAACCACTTAACTATAATATTATGAAACTTTCCCTCCCTCTGCAAAATATTTGTAAAGTAAAACTCAGCATTGAAATTTCTTATTTCCTTTTCAAAATTACCACCTAAGACAATATATTCATTAATTTGTCTTTCTGAAGAATGAATATTTTGAGCATGACACCAATGAAAGTTATTTCTAATGCAAATTTCCTTGTTTAGATTCATCAATATTGCAAGTTTTACTAAAAAAGGTAATGCTTGACTGAAAAAACAACTGTGCTCACATTTTATTTTGTTTGTTGTTCATTCTTTTGAGCTATTCAGCCCAAGAATATTCTATTACTGTAATGCAATCTGAGGGTGGTCTTTCTAAGATGAATGTGGTAACATGGTGATATGTTTATTCTGTGGAAAATCTATTTCGATGTCTAATTAGAAGCTTTTAAACGTTTGACTCCTCATTCCTTTGTAGAAAGACTCTTGGGAGGGAAGTTGGGTTTGTCTATATAGATGTTATCCCACACCTGCATTTTAGTTTATGTAAAGTTCCAAAAATATACACTGCTTTTCTCGCACTTACTGTATACTTAAAAAGTTAATAGTTTTGGCAAACAGCAAAGGGCTTCAATTTGGAAAGTGCTAAATGAATATTTGAAAGATCTGGTTCAGTGCTGGATGCTTTTAAAAATATCTGCTAGCTGCTGGCCAAATCATTGATCACCAAGTGCAGAGGTACAGGCATAAAGGCATATGACTAGAAGGAAGATTTTTAAGCTCGAATCCCGAGATCAGCCATCAAAAACTAGATCTGAGCTTAGAACCTGGTGTACTCCCTCTGCTCTTTACAGATCAGCATGATCATCTACTTCCAATTTGCTAACAAAGGCTCTATTCATGGCTGTTTCAGCCAACCTCGCAGATCTTCATTTTCCTGTTCCGAAGTGGGAGGGAAGGGAAGTATTGTTCGTAAGTTATTCATCAAGTTATTCATCAAGATCAAATCTTATAAATATGTAACAGCTTTCAGCATCTGGACAAGATTCGGCTGCCCATGGACTTGAACGCCGCTTTCAAATCTCGCTGAAAGGAAACCATGTCTGTTGGCATAGCAAACGACCATGGTTGGGCAAGTCTGAACGTGACCTGCTGAGATGAAAGCTCCTCGCCCAGAAGGGCTGCAACCCTTAGCAGGAAAGGGCAGGAAGCGGGCTTCTCTCTGACAAGATTGAGAAGAACAAGTCTGGTGCAGTCTGCCCCTGTGAATCACTCAAATTAACTAAACATTGCTCCCTCTGCATACATTTTACAGAGTGTCATCCTATTCTCCAAAGTGACACGGGGCAGATTTCAATGTTTCTGACAGACTTCAACAGATGTTTTTGAGTATATTACAATTATTCAGTTATTTATATTACATGTTCATTTGTGTCTGATATGAATGCTTTCGGATTCTAATGGTACTAGGAAATTAGCTAACCTTAGAGCAAACTCAGTTAATATTAGTTTCAATTTCTTGACCATGTGGAATCAAGTGTAGTGATCAATACCTTCACCCTTGAAGGGAGATATGCTCTTATAGTCAAAAGTGATCATTTCAAAAGTAAATTTAGAGAGAAGTTATCATAGTGTGGGTTCCTTCCTACTATGCTTTCTCTCTTGGAAACGGCTAGTTCTATTTTATGGTGAGCCATTGTTATTTTTCATATTATTTGGAAATAGAAATTGATACAATCCTGACCCTTCCGGACAGGTTAGATAACGAATTCAGTAAGCTTTCCCTTTTCCAGCTCCAAACCTGATTCCTTAGCAGCTATGATAATCTCTCTTGAATCTCTAAATCAATATGCCCCACATATTAGGTTTGAATAAGCACTGATTCTTGTAAAATATAATAGAAGACCATCAAAATAATATTTTTGAATTTAAAAAAGACAAGAATATTGAGCAAAAGAATCCATTTTTATCTTCCAAATTCACTGGGTGATAATGAAGTGCCCTCTTTTATATGCGTTCTTATTTGATATGCAAATATATTCAAATGTTATAAAAATGGGTTATTTAAATATATCACTGAAGAGTTTTAAACTCTACTCACTAGAAGCTATGACAGAAGAATCCAAAACATGAGCTGCTAAGGAAATGAAATGAGATTCTAATCTGAAGAGAGAGCTTACCTCTGGATTTTCTTCCAAAAACAAAAGCCTTGCCAAGAAGTTGCCAACCTGGCCTATATAGATCTTCTAAGTCCAACTGCCATCTGTCTGGTTCAAGATAGCGAATAAGGTCTTCCAAGGTGCTGAAGGCAGTGACCGCGTTATTAAGCTGGTCCAGCGGCAAAGCTGAAGGGGGCAGCACTGAAGGGCTCACAGCTTCTGTGACTTGCTGAAAGTAAAAGCAATCCTCTGTTAACCATTTAAAGAAGACAATGCATTCCTTCTGGACTTGCGCAAGAAGTTAGGAACACTAAGGCTGTAAACACATGGGAAATCAAATCGCATTCAATTCCAGTTAGAAGTCGTGATTTTGCAAGACTTCATGTAGATGAACACCCGTAGATTTGCTGTGTAGTCAATGAGAAAGACATTAATTTCATTACCGCAAACCTCAGGGGATGTGGCTACCTGTTGCTTAAATAAAAACAAACAGTTCTCCAGGGTTCAATTACAGACTTAAAATGGAAACTATAATAAATACAGTTCACCCAATTTGTGTTTGTTTTATACCTTTCACTTTCCTTAATCTGGAAAATGTCTACGTCGTTATGCAAATGAGTGTCAGATGAATTAAAAATGTAAAGTAATTAACTTATAAAGAATGACAACAAAAGGCAGGTGAAAGGCTTTTGACTTTGGAGAAAGTGTTTTCCAAGATAGTTATAACCCACAATTTATAACTTTGATAAATTTGCCTAAAATTGTTTTTAATTTTTAATAAACAGGTTTAAAAGACAGATACTGGAAGAATACCTTGGCAAGTGATATAACTTTCACAGGATTAGTATCCAGAGAGAGTATACCAAAAAAAAAAAAAAAGACAAAGACTGTAACTAAATACAAAATGGGCAAACTCCAGACCAGAAGTTTGAATGGCCAACAGACATAAAACATGCTAAACTCCATCAGTTTTCAGAAAAATGCAAAACAAAATAAGATACTATTTCACATCCATCAGATTTGCAGGCATTTAAAAGGAAGGGCTGCCAAGGATGTGGGTAAGTTGGAATTTCTCTGTGCTGCCCGCAGAAGTGAGCGTAAATTGCTTTAGTTTACATAAGTTACTAGAGTTGAGGATTTATATGTCCAACAACCCCTGTAATTCACTTTTAAGGCTTATACCCTTTTATTTGTGCACATGAAAATATGTGCAATGATATTCATCACACACACATTGTTTAAAATAGAGAAAAGCTGAAAAGAACCTAAATGCCCATATATAGAACAATGGATCAAAATACTTCATTTTAAATGGCAAGCAATAAAATAAGACAATAATTTCAATAAATCTTCAATAAGGACCCCCTCCCCCCCAATTGTTAACATGTACTAAGGGTAGGACGTGTTATCAGAACTGAAATCAAAATAGGCAAAATAAATAAATGAACAAAATGCTCAGCTTAGTTTTTGCATTATTTTGTAATTTAATTTTTTGTAGCAAAGGGGAGAGGAGTATGAAATAAAACATTTATGTGGGTTGATGTTCATTATAGTAGTATTAATAATAATAACAAAAAGTTGAAAACATTCTAAATTTATATTCATTGGAATAGTTAATTACACTACTCGTGAAATGAAATAGTGTATATACATTAAAAATGAGGTTCTCTGGGAATTTTTATTAACAAAGGAAATGCCTACTAAGTAGTAATGACAAAAATAACAAGCTATATAAAAATAGTGTTCATATACCATAATGTCAACATACATAAATTGAAACAAAATCAAAAATCAACAGTGCCTAAAACGCTGTGTTCATCTATGATTTAAAAGAGAATGGTGATTTTAATTTTCTTTCGTATACATATCCAAATTTTCAACATTTTCTATAATAAATATGGATTCCTTTCGGAGATCAGGTTATAATAAACTTAGTTATAATATAACTATGAAGACAGCTTTTCCTTTCATCCTCATTAGAACCTTGGCTAGATAAGGAAAACCATGCACTGTATTTAGCGTCTTCTAACTTGTCTCCTTGCCTTTAATCTTTCCTTATTCCTTCTATTCAATGCTGTATAACCTTGGGTTAATCTACCTAAAGTAAGTTATCACTGATCATGTGATGCATTTGGACAAATGCCTAGGGTGATTTCTCATCTGGGGGATGAAATCCAAATTCCTTACACTGTACTCAGGATCCTTACAATCAGACCTTTGCTGACCTTTCCCATCTAATCCTCTACTCATCAAAGATGTGCACATTTTGTTCCAATCAATCTCGTCTCTTCACTAACTACTGCAGATGTCTTATTCATCTCAGACCTTGTACTTCCACACATGATAAACGCTGCTCCCCTTCTCCCATATGCAAAACCCTTCCCCCTGTGATCCACATAATAAATCTTTACCATTTATAATGGCCTTCCTTGAAACCCAATTCATCCATAAAAACTTCTTCAATAACAGGGCGATCATTGTCCCATATATCTCAATTGTATGAACTTGAAAAAGATTCCCTCTCTGGGCTGTCCTCTGGGCACATGGCTTGAAAAACAGAAGCGGCTCTACAACTTCGAAAAAGGATGATTGCTCTCTGGGACAGGTCCAGCTCCTGTGGGGGTTTGTGGGTATAGAGTCCTATTTGCACACAGAGGGTGGGAGGGTAGATTTTTATAAAGAACTGAACTAGAGGCACGAAATTCGTCTATGGGTCCACTCGGGGGATTTCCGACTGCCGGTTTAGGCCCGACTGCCGGTTTAGGATCGGGCCTAAACCTACAGTTGGACATCCCTCTCACAATCCTGGACTGCTGGCTCCTAACTGCTCACTTGCCTGTCTGCCTGATCACCCCTAACTGCCCCCTCTGCCAGCCTGGTCACCCCTAGCAGCCTCTGCCTGCCCGTCTGATCATCCCAATGCCCTCCCCTGTCAGCCTGGTTGCCCCTAACTGCCGCTTCTGCTGGCCTGGTCACTCCATGCAGCCTGCTGCTCGGTCGTTTGGTCACCCCTCACTAACCCCCTGCCAGCCGGGTCGCCCCACACAGCCTGCTGCTCAGTCGTTTGGTCACCCCTTACTAACCCCCCTGCTGGCCTGGTCGCCCCACTCACCCTGCTGCTTGGTCGTTTGGTTGCCCCTCACTAACCCCCCTGCTGGCCTGGTTGTCCCATGCAGCCTGGTCATTCATCTGTTCAGTTGCAATGGTAGCTTAGGCTTTTATATAGATAGATAATCAGCTGAAATGAATGTGGCAGCCTTAGATCAGCAACGATTTTATTCTTATTTTAAAGATCTATTTTCAATAATGTCAAGAATCTGGCTAAAATATTAGTACAAAGATGATCCCAACTATTCTACCTAACTTTTGAGAGTGGAAATCAAATTTAATACATTCCCTATTTACTCCTGGTATTTTTAAAATTGTCCAAAAAATTCAAAATTTCTTTAACAGAGAGTACGATTATCACTGGTAACTAAATTATAGGCATAAATAAACAACTATCTAATAAAAAGTTCCATTGCTAATTTAACCAATTTGGTTAATATTGATTAAACTTCTAGCATGAAAAAGTTAATGCAAAAGTTTTGCAAAGTTTTGCAAATTTAAAAACATAAGTTAAGATGTATATGTTTATGTAATGTGTAAATTCAAGTTCAGTAATACTCAAAGAATAACTGAGTATTACTCATGACTATGACAATATAAAACAAACTAAATGTGTCATAATCTGTGGAAAACTAATACAAAAAGTATATATTATTCATTAAAATGTCAGAGTGCACAGTTAAACATGATATAAAATGATTACTTAAGCTATTTTCAGTTAGACCATGATCCAAGAATGAGTTGGTTCATTTTGCTTTCTACATCTGTTGGACACTCTGCATAGAGCATTCCTTTTGAAGCAGTAAAAAGTTCCCACTGAAATCAATATTGCTGAGACAAAGGTTAAAGTAGTTATACAAAAGAAACCAAAACAATATAAGCCTGTAATGTTGGATGAGCAAAATATACACACGCGGGGTTCAATGAAGTATCAGAATAGCAATCCCTTCACATGACAAAAGTAGGGAGGGAACGACTTGGTATATGATACTACATTCATATATTGGTTGAAATATTTATATTAAAATAAGATCAATTTCAAAAATAAACACACACACACAGCAGTTTGCACCCACCCAAAAAACAGGAGGGGAAAATCAACTCACTTCCCCTAGATTCAACGAATCAACTCCAGGACAGAACAGAGGAAGCTGTACTTTTATTTAAGGACTTTCTCATGACTGCACCCCACCCACTATTTCAAGGAACAACTAAACTCCTTCACTTTCCAAGTTCTGCTTTTCTAAGTTGTCTAAAGGGATTTTCAGAGAAAAGGGGAGCAATGGAAAAAAGAAGTGAGAGGCAAAAAAGTCCTCTTTTTTTAAGTTTTAATTTTTCCTATAAGCAGAAACTCCTCTTTTCAGCACAGGCTCATAGAATTTTCTCCAGTAATTAGTGTCTAGAAAATTCGGGCAATACTTATGATTGGGCCAAATGCCTGGAATTGAATTTTTCACATTCCCCATTCCTTATCTCTTTTAGTCACCCTGAAAATAGAGACTTATTACTCAGTTATGGTTTGTTCTAAGACTATTTAGTAGGTGACACTGGTCAGTGATGAAAAGCAGAGTTTCTTGGTGTTCCGTAATGCAAACAACTAAACCAACACCCCCACTTTAGTAAGCCAGAACAAAGACTTTCTGCTGTTACCTGCAGGGTAACAACGATGACCTGGGTGGACCACCTAGTTCTAGGCTACTGAGACCCCTTCAGCACAGTATTTGGAAGGACAGATTGTGAAAGTTGAGAAAAAGGATCTGAAATCTCAGTGCAATGAAGTGCCCTGTCAAACCGTGCAATTCTAACATGTCAGTACCATGTGCTAAAGATATTACACAAAATGAGGTTTTTTCTAAATTCCTTGGTGAAATTCATTATGGATGACAGCATGATACGAGAGAAGAACTCTGATCAGGAGTCAAGGAGCCTGGACTGTCATCTTGGAGCTGCTCGCATTTCGGAAAGAGAATTTGGGCAAACACTGTAACCGCTCTTAGCCTCCGTTTCCTTCTACCAATCTTGGCTGCTAATTTTAGTGACTGTTAAGTTTCCTTCTAGCTTTTAAATTTCATAATTTTATGTAAATGCCAGATGGTCCATCTTCCCCACATCCTTCTCAAC